CTCTGTAGGTTATACACTGTACTGCTTGGATCTACCAGTAACACCTGCAATCTCAGCAAATGTTTCAGCATATAAATCTTCACCTGCTTAGAGTACAGACATTCTTTAATATTTGCTTCTGATTAACATTTTGATGCTTTTCCCAGCAACATTAGTATATAGGCTTCAATTCGGAAAGAGACAAAAAAGTTATCAGTATTTTTACTAATTTAATGGTTCCTACAATTCTGTTAAAATACATGCAGCATTGACTTTGAAAAGGAATTGGAATATGACAAAGATAAATGATAGCTGTCATCCTGGTCCTGCAATGTGCCCTTTTGGGCACACATCCCTGCATGGAGGCAAACCTCCTGAATTCCTGAGTTCCGCACAAGAGGAGGAAGTGGGTGCCTCTGCCCCGTGCACTGCAGACTAGAGCACAGGTTATAACTGACAACTGCTAGAGCTCCTTGGGCAGATGAGAAACAAAGTTCTTCGTCTTTTCTTGCGTGTGGTTTTTTTTTTTGTTAACATAGGCCAACAGACCTCAGCATTCTGAGAGTACACATTAATACCAAGGGAGTTTTACTTTTTTATTTTTCTTTTTAATTCGAAATATTTTCTACTTCACAACATCCACTACAGTAGGACAGCAGCTAGTAATTTTGCATACTTCATGTCACTCATTTTTTTCCCCTTCATTAACACATTTAAGAATAAGGAAATGAAGGCCATTTCTACAGAATGGGAAATGGCAGCCTGGTAAACAGTGACTAGGAAAGGATCTCGGAAACACACCAGAAGAACAACTTGCCCTGAAAGCCCAGATTGCTGAGGCGCAACGACAGCTTTAGAAGGTATAAGCATGGTGACTGCAAAGAGGTTTTTTTTCCACCATATACAGCTACCATGTACTGCATTAGTGAAGCTGACACAGGTCCAAAGTAGAGTTTTGATGCCTATACTTAATAAAGAATATGAAACTACTTAAGAAATTTCAGAGAAGAGTCACAGAGTTATTAAACGGATGAGGAAAACACTTGCTGGCGAGAGGTCTGAGAGTACCTGTGATCAAAAGGAAGAGGGAAAGGTGTTTGGAGATGGCAGCAGCAGATAGATGCATGGGGAGAAACACCAGGGAATAAAAAAAGTATTTCATTCAATAAGAAGCAAAAGTCAGAGAAATTCACATTAGAAATTAGCCACAATAATTTGACAGCAAAGCTGACAGACAACTGGAACCAAGTGCCCAAGGAAGAGGCAGAGATGGTATAACTCGCCTTCAAACGCAGCCAGGATGCTTTCATGGAAGACTTCTGAGAAATACACTCTTTTTTTCCAATCGAAAGCAAGAAAATCCTGTGTTAGGCTAGCCCCAGTAGCAACAGCCTGTACGAAATCAAAAAGCACCTAAATGTTTACCTCTGTGTACAAGAACATTTCCAAGTTGGGTTATTAGAAGAAAGCCAAGTATGGAGAGGTCAGTCCAGAATTTAGGATGAAACGAGCAGGACAATGACCACAGAGCCATAATGAAAAGCCTCACCCAGGAATCACAAGTAAAGGAGAATTCAATAAACAGCACCACCTTCCCCAAAAGAAACTTTCCTGAAATGGATTGGATGGAGTAGCCATCCTTCCAAGGCACTGGGTCATCCCCGAAAGCTAGCCCTGACTGCACTGGAGAAACTGGGAACAGAAGCTGCAAAACACTGGGAATAAAAGCTTTTCCTGTGACAATTTATCCCTTTAAGATTTACCTTTTTGTCTGCCTCTTTGCACTACTTTGGATTGAGAAAAGACGGTACTGAACTAAAATATGAAGATGTAGGAGAGTATGTGAGGATTCATTTACTCAGCTGAACCAGCAGGCACTCTTAAAACACTATTTGAAAATGTCCCTGGCAAGCATTCAGGTCAGGGTAAGATTTTCAAGTTTTTAGAACCTTGTTCAGCAAAACCAATGGTGCCTCAGAAACATGCACGTGCTCAAATTCACCACTGAAGGCTCAGTTCACTTCCACTAGAGATTTTTTTTCTGGAAAGAAGATATAGTCCTTTTTTTTTTTTCCAGTTGGAAACAACCATAAGTAAATGTCATCATGCTTTTCTGAATAATCAGAGAGCTTTAAGTGCTGCCAGGTTTACAAGCAGGTGCAGGGTGCAAAGGAGAAAAATCCAAGTGATTTGTCATTGCGGCTATTCACATCAGTGATGTTAAACAAAAATCAAGTTTATTTTTCTTACTACTGTTTAAGAAGCTGAGAAGCACCAATAAGCAAAAGCAAAGCAGACTCCCACTTTGCATGACTCTGCTTACATTTTCTCTGTTTCTCTAGTACCATGGTGATATGCTCTAAACGGCTTAATGCAATCCCTACAGGCTTAATGCAATCCCTACAGATCTTGAAAGCACTCAAGCAGAGAAGTGCAAGGCAAGTGGAAGAGACTCCTTTTGTCACAACAGTGACCTTCAAGCTTACCAAAAGAGTAGCAAAGATAACATGCCTTTTATCTCCTACCTGTCAGCTCGAAGCATGCAGGAAAAAGGAGAACAAAGCCTTCCTTATCCCTGCTGCAAACAAAAGCTTTGTTTCAAAGGTATTAAATGCCAAACAAGAAGCAAGTCTGGTCACTGGACTAATGCCCAGGATGGCTGCCCCTGCAAAAATTCATGATTTCCAGTAATGGACCTGCTACAACGGCATGTAGAAAACCTCATCCCTCTCCTTGGGAAGGAGCAAGGGGGTTCACCAAAGTAGGGTTCTTCAATCTTCAAGCTGATCTTTGAGCCTTTCATGGATCTGAAGCTGCCCTAAGCCTGCAGTCAGCAGTCAGTTGTCTCCTACCTGTCCCTGTGCATCTCTCCCGCTCCCCACTGCGCTGGCTGCTCACGGCGAGCTGCTGTCTGTCAGCCAGAAAACATCACATCGACACTTTGACCCTATTTCTTTTAGCTTCTGGGGTATTGCATGGCTTTTATGTTGAGCTGGTGGAAAAGCTGGGGCAAATGGGAAGAATCGTATTCCATAAACAATTTGAGTTCAGCTACCCGTTAGAGAGGGTCTATAGAAGAACAGTTGCAAAAAAATCAAGCAAAACTAAAATGCTTTCACAATACTGTAATATTTATAATGTGTATTTAAATCACGTTCTTGAGATTTCTGCAAAATCAGTACTTGACACTCCAGTTCCTTACGAAATTCAGTTTTAAGAAAGACATCATAGAACTAACGGAAAGAGAAAATATTCAACATGCTCCTTCACTGTTAGGTGTAACACCACCAATAAATTTTGAAACAAAAGACTAAAACTCTCAAAAAATGTTTAATTTATCAGAAAACACTAGGAAATGCTAAACCAATAGCAAGCAATGTTGATGCACTTCAATGATGTCTCATTTAAAAGACTCATCAGCCTTTTCACTACTCTGCAACTACTAGTTAAATGAAGTGTCCTCTCAATAAAAGGAAAAATACATTTTTCAACTTTGCAAGGAACAGCCAAAAAGGAAGCTGCAAATACTTTTTTATATCTTATATAATTTTTATACATTTTCACAAATTTGTATTGGAAGAAAAATGTAGAGAGATTTCATCTCACGGATACTCTACAGAAGAAACATGTTACCTATGTCACAAGGATGTACCATGTGCATAGAAAATGAGATCTTGGGAGGATCAAAAAGTAAACATGCTCATCTTTTTTTCACATACCTAATGTTCCATACCATCTCTGAAAAATCAGTTTAATCAAGGAACATCTCTTTGACTGTCAGGTGTGGCTACTTGTTTTATCTTGCATTTCAGCAGAGAGAAGAGATCATTTACCAAATATGTGAAGTCCTATTCTAATGAATTTTAGTTTTTAAAAATAATACATTAGAAATGGAACTTTCATGGAATCAGAATAGAGAACACAGGAGATCAAAATTTTGTTTAACTCTTGTTGTTTTCATGTAATGAAATCATGCCCATAGTTAAGTTATACGTCAACTGAATTTCCAATAGCTCAAAATATTTTATTTTCTAAAAAACAAACCAAAACTACAGCCCCCTCCCCCCCCCCCAATTTATAATTTCTTACTACACTTTCTACTCACGTCTGAATCCATACATTCAAAGGACATGCACTGACATTACCACGTAAAGAACGTGGTGGGAAGTTGGGCAAGCTCTTGCAAAGATCTGCAGAAAATTCAAACTTCTATAAAAATATTTTAATCTAAATGTGAGGAGTCCAACCTGGTGGCACAGATGGCATGATTCCTGACTATAATTTCCAAATTAAATTTACAGCCTGGGCAATAACCATCTGCAGTCAGCTTTAACCTCTGTGTCCTGGCTAAATGCTAACTGGCATCACTCATTCGTGTCCTTCCAAAAATTCCTCAGAAGTTTCATCCAAATTCAATTTTCTTCACATTCCATGCTATAAATGTCTCTAGAGTCTTGCTGCATACTTTTAAATAGCTGCCAGAAGGGACTGTACTCCCATGATACACAGCATAACCCGTCTGCATGGCTTATAAATACTTTGTACCCTGTGGAACAGGGACTATTTTGTCAGAACAAAATTAGATTGATTAAATTGGTAAAGAGTCATTCCAGGTACAAAATTAGTGAACTCAGTGGAGTTTTGAATCTCGTATTAGTATCTGGCTATACAGAAATGAAACATTCACAACAGTGTGCTGCCACTTTTGAAACATGAGTGCACAGTTTAAAGACCTGAGTTACCATCTCGTGCATGTTGGCTGGAAATGTTGCAAATCAAGATTATCTCAGAGGCGAAGGCATACAATAGCATCTGGCTTTTCACAAGCATACTGTACATAACTATTCCGTAGAAAAGAGAGCACAAGGAAAAAGCCTTCAACTTCTGAATGTAACTGCCAGTGCCAGAAAGTGGGGGGGAAGTATATTGTATTACTGATATGTAAAAAAGAAGGGAAAATGGTCTATGTATTACAATTAACAGAAATCAGTGAGAAAAACTTAACTGAAAAAATGCCTTACCTTGAGAAGTTGAGGAAATGAACATGTCTAGTGAATAAATAGGGCTGCTCCGCAGTGCTTATGTTTTTAATCAATTCCATCTAAAAAAAATTAATAAATCAAATTTTCCACGTTACATCAATGCACATTTTGAGACAAATCGAACTCTCAAATAACATATGATGATGTAATTTTCAATTACTCAGGAACTCCCTCCTCACTATCGCTCCCAAACACTGTCATCTAGGTGGCACCACTACTATTTCATGTCTAAGCAAGAAAGGTTAAGCTGCAGATACCATCCTGCTATCACGGAGCTTATGTACTTCCAAAAGTAGGTATTGCTTTAAGGAAAGGTGTAAACTAAAGGAAAAATCTAAACCCTGCCAAATCTGCAGCAGAGCTTTGGAAGTGGCAGCTGCCCTCTGAAGACGCAAGTTCTATTCACCAGAATGCCAAAACATAAAATGCCTGAAACTGTAAGAGAAAGTGGGAGCTGAGCCAATATGACCGTTTCCATATAACAATAAAAACTGCCAACATTGCCAAAACGCTAATTGATTCACTTGTTTAAATATGGAAATCAGCACTTGTCATTCCTTTTACTATTACAGCAAATTAAGAATACAATTAAATAGGCACTTTTAGAAAGACGATGCTAAGTTCTAGTTCAGGCACATTCACACCTTTTTTTTTTTTTTTTAATAAATTATTTAATTTTTCAGATCATTAAAATGGAATAATGTAACCAGCATATATTGAAGACTGTGCACCATGGGTATGAATATCTATGTTGTGTAAGCTGAGCCCTAGCTATGATCTAGAGGAAACTGAAAGCGTCTAGTGGAGCATCATGCTAGAAAGTCGAGATGTCCTCGTTACTTTTGCTTCCTTACTATTAATTTCCCAAGATTTATTTTCAGATTTTCTGGTCTGTTCTCAAATGCAGGCTATATTATGGACACTGAACACAAATGCATTTGAAATGATAGGTATGAGTTATTGCAGTAAAAGCCTGAAGAGCATGGTAGAAAACGATGTCCATGCCATAAGAAATATTAAACTACAGTGAAGGGTCAGCAATCGTCAATTTTTTTCCTTTATCTCCTAGTTTTGATATACTGGTATTTTATCACAGTGTGTCACATTTTACTGCTTCTCATCCATCTTTCACTCTCCATTTTTTCCCAGGACACGTAACCTGCCTTCTTTCAGACAATGCAAGCTATAGCCATTTAACTTCCACGACCAAATATAAAAGTGCACACACTACTATGCTTTTCCCTACTTTTGCTCTGCCGTCAACGATTTTATACACATACATGTACAATGAGCGCTGAAGCAGACAGTTCAGTTTGTCCGCCATCGCAGGACGAGCCTTTTCCTGTCAAACTAGTTTGAGTACATCAAGGCATATTAGGTATAGACCTTGTATATCTCAAGGCACATTAGGTCTGAGAAAGTAAATCAAGGTGTATTAGTATATCAAGGTATATTAGGTCTGAGAAAGGCTGTAAACCCAAGGGAATGGAACGTAAAGAGGAGACCACCAAAAGAAAGACAATATGAAAGGAAAAGAAAAACAAGAGAAGGGAATGAAGAAAAAAAAAAAAAAAAAAGAGGCAGGAAGGGAATAGCCCCCCTGCTTTAGTTAGTCATATCTGGACTCTGGACTGTTTGATTCAAGTATGAACAGGTCTTTATACAGCTCCTTCAGTACAATATAAATGCTGTGAGAAAGAAATTAATAGACCTGAAGAGCAGAGCTTGCCCAGACCAGAATTAGAAAGCCCAGAAAACTTTGCAATAATTGGCACGAAGTAATTGAGCACTGTTTGTTAATGCTCTGAAGAGACAAAGGCTTTCCTAGCAAACCAAGCAGTCGACATTTCTGGTACCTCTCTCTGCCAAAAAAATTGTATCCATTCACCTTGCAGAATGAAACAAGGCAAGACTCTAGAGGCTGCGTATCCAATGTCTCAATTGGCTTCTTTTTTTGTTACAAGTTACAAGAGAAGTGAAATTCTCACAACTGTATGAAGCTTTATGTTATATTGGCATTTTATCTGTGTTAGTCTATCTGCATGAATGATGGAAGGAAGATAGCAGAAGGAAGTTACCGATATGGGATAAAAACTCTATTCATGCCACTATGGTCACCACTGTAATTCCATCTTGCAATAAATGAAATACCACCATTAGAGTATAAATATAGAGATATAAAGATAGTATACCCATACAAAGTAAACTCACTGATTTTTTTTTTTAAAAGACCGGCAGCTTTAATATAATACTGCTACACAAACATGTGTTTGTGGGTATATGTGAGCGCAACAAAGTTTGATGCAAGCCTCCCTTGCCCCTCAGCTCACGCTGGGGCTGGTACCAATTTGCTAGTGCCAGGCGGGTTCACATTACACCATCACCGCATTTCCCATTACAATTCACCTGATGTCAGTGTCAGGCTCGTGTCAACCTGCTGCTGCACCAGCAGGGGCACTTCTGCCTTAGGAGCAAAGGGAGTCTGGAAAGATGCACAGAGAGCAGGACAGCATCTGGCTCCTGGCGGTTTTTTTTAATCTCTTGCCACCAAACTCAATCTCTTGAGCTATAATAATAGCTTACTCCAAAGCAGACACAAAATTCTGTTTTGACTCAAAGTACCTTCATATTTAGACACTTAATGATAAACTGGACTTGTAAGCAGATGTGGATAAAGCTACAATGTGCATATGAACAAACAAGCAAAAAACATTATTTTAAAAACCCAGCCAAAAGGGTAAGTAAGGCTCAACAGAAACAACACACAGATGTCAGGAGGGAAAAATAAATAACTGTAATGGCTCATGGCCACATAAAATTGTGGCCGTATTTCCCTTGGGCCTCCCTTTCTCTGATCCCACTGTGCTGAATCTAAAAAGCCAAATGTATTGCTCAGGAAAACCTAGTGATCCACCCTCCTTTTAAGATGATGTTAAAGCAAAAAGGAAAAAAAAAAAAAAAGAAGAAAAAGAAAAGCAAAATCTTCCATCTCCCAGAAGAGTAAGGTCTCTCTAGTATGGGTTGGGGTTTTTTTTTGGCTTGTTTGTTTTTGGTTTGTTTTTGTTGTTTTTTTTTTGGTGGGGGGGGGGGGAGGAATAGAGTGGTCGTGGTGTGTTTGAGTTGGGTTTTGTTTGTTTGGGGGTTTTTGTTTTGTTTTGCTTTTCTTCTTACAAGATGATTAGTGTAGAGGACCCACAGAGAGTAACAGTGAGGAGAGGATGAAAGCTGAGGAAAGCAAGTACCCTTGGATGGAATGAGTGGTGAAGGAGAGAGAGTTACATATAAGCACAGATGATCTAGATGGTCATAAACCAACCTAAGTTTGAAAGGAGATGAAAAGGCACAAGCAGCAGAAGATAAACTACCCTAGCAAACACTGTTAGAGGAGAGATGAACCAGAACACGTCCATGTTTGGAGGGAGAAGCTGTAAAAATATCCAGAGGAAGCCTGAAAGGAGCACATGCCCGCTAGGATAAGGGCCCATACAGAACCATTCCTCTCTCTGGCTGCTGCCCTGAGCTCTCCTGCAGGAATTAGGCTGTTTCAGTGAAACAACGCTGAAAAAGACAGTAATTTGCTTTTGAAATTAACTAAATAGCAGCAGAGAGTTACTGTTGCTAAACAAGGACCCAGGGAGATGGAGATGCCAGGACACAAAGAGTGTGTGGGGAGAGGCAGGCGGTGGTACCCCGTGCCCAAGTGCTCCTATCCACCAGAGGAGCCCATGGCACAGCCCAGCTCAACTGCTGGGCAAGAGTGAACCAAAAGCATTGGGTGTGCTGTGCTCCCCAAGCAAAGGGGAGCACACACACTGCGTGGCAGGAGTCTTCAGAGATGCTAAACCACAGCAAGCAGTTGCAAACACCTCTGTGGTGTGGTCAACATACATTTGCTGTCATTCCACCCCTCCGCCTCAACACCAATTAACTGTAAGGAACAGAGTCTTTAGCCTAAATGCTGATTTGCTCCCTAGCACAACATGCTTCTAGTACTGTGACTCCTTGCTTAAGCTTTTACTCTAAATTTTTCTCCAAAATTCATTTTCTGCACTGACTTTTAAATAGGATCTTTAAAGATGACCAGATCTGCAAACAAAGGCAAACGTGTAAATCACAAGCTATTTTTGAATCTTAAAACTCACCCAAGCAAGAACACCAAGAGACAATACTTCAAGGGGAAAGTTTTTTCCTTGTCTACTGTCCTACACTACCACTGTAGGATCTCAGTTGGCTGTACTGAAGAAATCAAACCATAATCGCTCAGCATCATCTGTGTATTTGTACTCAGCTGTTGCTGCATTGTAAATAACAATCCAGCAGATGGCACAGTGAAATGACGCTGAGAGAGACTGGATGGGGCCCTCCCTGAGAGTGGAGAAACGTGGAGGATGGCTTTCCTCCAGCCACAGCATTGTTCCTGCACAAAAACTCAACTCAGGCTTTTGAGAGAGGACACCTTCTTTCCCTCTTCTGGAAGCAGCCAGCGACATTTGCAATAGGTAAATTCTACTGGGAACAAAAAGAAATAATCAGATAATAATCCCGCCCAGGCAACAGCCAAAATGTTACTACTTTTTTTGAGGTCAAAATGTATGGTGAGGCAACTGGGATTTTACAAGTGAGGTCAGCTGGATGACACTATAGTGTCCATTAACATTGATGCAAATAGGACCAAAAAAAAAATAAAAATCTGTCTTTCTTGTGAGTTCTTTACCTTCTACTGTTTTCAATCTCTACTGAAGGCATGTAGGGTTCAGGAGGCACAAGTATCTACAGGTATTTGGTATATCACTTTCATCTCGGTATTCATTTCCATAAACAACTCCCAGGAATGAGACTACCTCTTCATTTTCAGCTCTCAAAAATTTGGAATGGTTTCAAGAATTTCTTCAGCTCCCCAAGGTGCTATGACCAATTTTCTGTCTTTAAAAGTAATTAAGAAGAGCTAGCGATGGATTTTTACTGTGTTAAACTGGAATTATATATGAAGCTGGCTGCATGGCCAAAAGGATATGTTGTAGAAGGAAACAATATGAGAATAAACTATCAATTACTCTTGTATGTGATTGGTATTGGTATATCTATAAGCATACTCATTCTTACTTCTCTGAATGCAAAAAATAGGGGTGGGAGATGAAGTCAGGGAAGAATTCATTTTGCAACCCTTCATGTGTCATTTTGAAGCCACATCATTCAGATTGACTTTGTACACATGAATACTAGCTATTATTTTCTGTATTTAATTTACTTGGAAATTTTATAGCAAATGGTAAGGCACAGATTAACCTGTCTGTTTTCAGAACTCACTCCCTTATGCCCATAAATGTTCAAAGGCTGCACTTCTAATTACTGGCAGGCACACATAATTTGGGAAAATTTCTTAGTAGGAAGTAGACTGGAAAAGGCAATGAGAATATGGATTCCAGTTACGTGCAATCTTCACAGTCATTAAAAACACCTACGTGCTTAACTTTATTTAACAAGAGCAGACTGCATAAGCTAAATATTTACAGCAAAGTCTTAACTGGATCAGGGTTTTAACCAAACCCAGAACAGACAAATGACAGAATGAAGAGAGATGTATCATCTCCAGTGAGAAGCCCATGCTCACACTGGGAGCCTACAGCCCAGCCGTCTTTTCTCTCGTTCCAATGCCTGGAGCCTGAGACCATCCATTCTCTTAACTTCCTCTTGTGTACACCACATTAAAGGTGGGAGAAATAATTTATTTTTTCATATTCTGCTCATAAAAAATGAGAAGACAACTAAAAATACCCTGAACAACAGAACAGTTACTGTCTCCAGGCATGTTTCTTGGTGATCAAAGGCACTTTTCAGCAAAAGTACTCGTTAAATTATGAACCTATTGTAACTATGTAAATAAGCCATAAATTAAAATAAAGAGACTCAAGTTATAGTAGAGCAATCTATAGAGTAAATAATCAGCTCTGCAGCAATACATCCAGCACCATCTGTGTTCCAGCATGTTCGCTGTCTAGTAACCTAACAGCTTCTGGAGTCCAAAAAGGAAGGCAGGTATCTATCCTCTGTCAGTGTACTGGTTGCATCAAAAGTAAGTCTGGGCCTCTCTTGAATCTCCACATACTGGATTAAAGCACAGAAGACTGCTGAGATGTGATCTTGTACCATGTTTAACAAAGGACAATCCACCTACCAGAGAAAGGCAGAACAGAACTGAAACGAAGTAGCTGATGAGGGTGAAAGTTGGAAATTATTAATAACTGAAAGGTTTTTAGGTTTTATGATGCATCTTCCAATCAGCAATGAAACTTGAAAGACATAGTCAAAACAAAAATCAAACAATTGGAAACACAAAAGCAGTCATACTTGCAGAAATCCACTATCCCACATCCCACGGTTAAGCACAAAAACTAACCATGCAGGCTCTGTAGCAGAGCATAGTTTGACCTCAACCTGAAGGGACCGTTTTGCAAACTGCCCAGGCTCCGCGGTGCTGCCAGTGGGATACACAGAGGGATACTACAGGAGCTGCAGCCCAGGGCTCTGCCCCTTCCCTTGGCCACAGGCAGGGGCAGTGGGAGGACACTGGCCTCCCCCACAGCCTTTCGCTGGAGGTCTGCACCCAGCTGTGCACAGAAGCTTTTGGGCTGGCATGGCAGCCCTGGCAAGCCGCTTCCCACCTCGGGCTGATCTTGAGCACCATGTGGGGTTAGATAAGCCAGCTGCTGATGGGACCCCAAAGGCCACCTTGGAAGGGAGAAAGGTGGGACCAGCAGGAGCAACACCTGCTCCCAAATTTCCATTTGGAATGATCAGCTGTATCTAAAATAACAAACTTATGCTCAGAAATAGGCTACAGATAAATCATACCCAAACACAGCACAATGCCACTGGCAGGCCCATGTCCGTATTTTGATCACCACACACATCCTTTTGTGGTTTGCAGGCTGCTATTCCTAGCAGCGATGCAGGCAGTTATTGCAGCATTTACCTGATCAGTAGATCAAAATAGTTGTGGGAAGTGTGTGCAACAGTCGTGTGTATGGCATCTGACTACATCTGTACACTTGGGAGTCTGAGGTTTTTTGAATTACTTGCATCGATATCTACTGATGGCAGCGATACTCACAGAGGGCACATGGTTATGTTAAATACAAGGGAATTTAAATAACTGGATCTTTTGTGGAATCAAAGCTGCAAAATAATGTCCTCTATAACGTTAAGGGAACATGAAAAGAGGTGTCTGGGTAAAGAAGTTTCATGTGGTATTTTCACTTGCCTTAGTGAGGGTTGTGCGATAACATGAAAAAGGCATATGAGCAAGAGGTTGAGATAAGATCAAGGATGTGTCAGGTTATAGCAACATGGGTTAGCACGGCCCTGGGAAACAACTTTTTGAAGCAAGTGATCACTAGAAGTGAATTAAGAAAGTGAGCAGCCCCCTCCTCGTTGGCTATTATTTACCCCTGCTCTGCTTAAGGAGACCCAAGCCAGGTCTGAATAAGCTGGCCCGCTTACGTTATAAATGATTGTGCCCTGCAGATACATTAACACAGATCCCAGAAACTGTTAGCACCTTCTCTTGTACTAACCTTTCTTGCCTCACTGCTGCACTAACTGCTATGCTGACTGAATTCAAGAGTTGGCCCACTGGAAGTTAGCTTTTCTGGTTAGCTTCCACATCATGTTGCTCTTGGCTCTACCATCCATTTCTCCTATTAACTGAAGCCACTTAGAGGATGACGAATTCTGGCTGATTACTAAGGTCAAAGTAGCAGTACACCTTTTCAATACAATTTCTGCTAGCATATGCCTTTGTTTCTCAATTTCACAAACAGAGTAAGACAACAGGATCTAACATGAGCAGGAGTAACTTACCTGTTCATTTTTGGTCAGTCTTGTTTTGTTATGGATATCAGATGTAACCAGGTTGAATCCATGTTTTTCTGATAAAATTCTCAAAAGCAAAACCACAGTTCGACTCCCACACTTTCCAACTCTGTTGTAGACCACCTGGCTGGGGAAAGGAAGTACCTAAATAAAGATTGAAAAAACCAGAGTCAGTATTTTTGTTTCTGTGTACTTCTGAATCACAGCATGTTTTGACGGTAAGCCAGTGGATATATACAGGAGAATTTCTAGGGCCCTGCCCAGGTCAGAAGCATTTACTTCCACCAGCAAACCAGCAGCTCTTTAGAATAGAAACATATGTCTCAGGAGGTGGCAAGCTGGGATATTCCCCTCATGATCCAGTTTAATGTAAAAGTGCAGATTGGTAGGTACTCCAGAAACACTTAGCCACTGCTGATGTCTTCTAGTGAAGATGATGATGGCTTAAGCTTGCTGCTTGTAACTTCACTACAAATAGTCAGCTTTAGTTGACTGTCTCCCATACAAAGAACAAGGAGAACTGAACTTGCACAACAGTTTGGCAACTCAAAGTGAAGTTGACATAACACAAGAGGAATGCTGGAATTGCAAAACTTAAGCTTAAGAAGAAAAAAACCCCAACCAACCACCAGTTGTAAAGAGCTAAAATTAATCAACTGTTTCAATTTCATATATAAACATGAATCTTCCAAAGACGCAGAGAACAAATCATGCCATTGGCTAGGCATGTACTTGTGGAATAAACAACACCGGGGCCACAGGTGGCCTGGAGGCCAACTGGCACAGTCTGATCACCTCTGTACAGGTTACATTCACTAAACCTCAAAACAGAAAAGCCATATCCAACATTCCCACTGGGCGCAGTCTCCAGCCCATGCTAACTCTTGCATCATGTTCTCCTTCTCAGGAAACCAGAACAAGCGAGTTGTACTTCACTGTCCTGAAGTACATCAGATGAAGGCTTGTTTTGTTCCTGGAAAATGTTCATGGCCGATTCTTTCAGTAAAAAGCATTCTGAAGTCACACTATTGCACTAGGAAATATTTGGTGTATAGCACATAGCAGCAGCATCTGATAATGTAGGCCAAGAGGCATCTGTTTTCAAGCCTTTTAAATTGGCTAACACAGCCAGGAGCTCACAGTTTCATCCACAGCAGTGCACACATGGCACTCACTTATGGAAACCTCATTTTTCTATTAAGATAATGGCATAAAACGTTTCCCAACACAGGGCCTGCACCCTGGTTCCAGGCGACACATGTTCAGTGCAAGGAATGGCTCATGTGGCAAAGTGACAGTGTGTCTCAACCTATAGCTACTTATGCTGCTGATTCAATCACATTCTCCCATAAGAAGGATTTCTAACATAAAAGCAGTCAGATGAGGCATATGGGCTTCTGGCACTTCTCACAATATTTGAACAGCTAATAGATCTTCACCAGGGATGCAAAATGATTCCTCAGACAACCACTCAGATTACCTTCAAAGAGGACTGCAAAATAGAATAAAAAAAATAAAAGAAAAAATCTGGGTTCTCTTATATATAATGGGAACATACTGGCACTTTGCTATCAACATTACACGTCATGACCAAAAGAACGTGATTATCGTTACTGGCTGCAATGCTAAGGATATCCTTCACTGCAACATAGACATGGAAGCCATCGTTCTCCAAATTACCTGAGGGGGAGGTGGAGGGGTGGGGGTAGGTATTTGGTAATCAAGTCCTTGGTTAAACTTTCCAAGCTCCAGGACATCACATCTGCTGATTCCGCAAATAAACACAGGCCCCCCAAGGCTCATATAAAACCCACATAACACACCAAACCTTACTATTTTGTAACTTTTATATAGTTTTCTATGAGAAACCTAGCCCCCTTATTCCTTAGGCGCCTTGCTTCCTATGAAATGCAAAATCCCAGCCTCAATGATTAGGGAACTCCAAAGGTGATGAATTTAACATCTCTCTGTTACAGCTGTAGCTAAACTTTTCCAAAACAACTGCTAATGATGTCTGAAAGGTTAACATTTGAACACATTTTATTATCTTGATTATAACACCAAGGACACCACAATGAAAGTTTTTCTTATGCAAGAACACACAAGCCATATTCTGGATTGCCCCCTTTTTGATTAATTTCTTTGCATAACAAAAACCAGCATCAGTATTTGCCACGGCCCTGCGGCACTATCCACACACCACCACTGTAACTTGTGGAATGGGAGTTTCTCCTCTGCTCCGACATACGCTTTTGGCATACTTTGCTGTGCAAGTATGTGAAAGTCTTCAAGAGAAACGTTAAGTAGATGCTGACAAGTGCCAGTGAAGGAGCAAGAGCACATACAGCATGTGTTTGCCTCGCATCCTGGAAATGTGATAAATGTTGAGAGTTTGTAGGGCCACGAAAACATTTTAAAAGGCTTCATAATTATTAACTGCTTTGATTTTCATAGCAGAGTTGCACTTCACAATATAGCGAGCAAAATTTTTTCTTCATCAGTACTTCACTCATTTCAAGTGCAGTTTTGCTGCACTCAGATTACATTCAAGTTCTAATTAAATCCCTGACTTGATTAGCCAGTAACTTTGGGTGAATCTTATTAATATCAATCTTTAAAAACGAAATAAAATTAAACCAGGCCTTTGTAAAGTCTCCATTCTAAGTGCTAACAACTTTACCAGCTAAAAAAAATGACAATCGCTACCAAATTTGGCCAGTTCTCACCTTTGTTTCTGAAACCCACCTTCCTACATAGCACAATTCTGTTCTGCATACAGACGATAACCATGGCAACCCCAAAAAGAAAGCATAAGCATATACTCACTGCAGATTTAGAAAACTGAAATAAAGGGCTATTATTTTCAGACAACTGTTTGGTTTAAAGGAGGCCAGTATATCAATGCCTTGATTCAGTGAAAATCTGAATGCACTTAGGTAAAATCAGACAAGATTCAAGATAAACACTACAGGTCGAAGCTCACTTCAGAAGAGCACAGTCATTAACGGTAATCAAAACTTGACTTGCAGCACTGCTGAATGTGGCTAGCTTTAGGGATTCACTGCTGAAGTTTTGCTCATGTTTCATCTATTTACGTCACCATTCCACTTACTCACCTGAATACACGAGAGGGTGTGCCCAGTACACAAAGCCATGCAGTACACAGGTTTGTGGTATATAAACAAGTTTTTGTTTAATGTGACCGGTTCCCTTAGGACACTGCAAACTTGCTTTCTGCCTTTTAGAAAATGTCTACGTAAATTCTTAGAAGAATAACTACTTCTTCCAGAAGCCTGAGTTTGTATCTGGTAGATCTAGAAATGCAAGAAATTGAAAACTTTTTCAGAGAGGAACTTCTTTCTTTCCCCCTCATGATACTCACAACAAACTCAGACAATGTAAGAGATGGTGGCAAAGGAGGCACTTGAAAAGAAGGCTCCTATTATATTAGCAGAAACAAGATGGGAAACAGCAGTTGGAGGTTTACAAAATGCTAATTGGATTACATTTTATTTTACAATGAGAGTATGTATCATGTAGACTGACTAACTGCTGAGGTGATGCTCTGGCAACATGATACTCATGTAACAATATACACAACTTAAAAATAATTACAGAGTGACTTTATTGAGCACTGCATCAAAGCCCAGAGGTAATATGAACAATTCAAACATGCAATTCACTTTGGATTTATATTAATTAGTACTTACAGCTACAAAAAAGGAAAACCCACAGTATGATTACAAGAGCCCTCTCCAAGGGTTTGGAAAGTTTTACAACAATTTACTTGTCAGTTCAAACTGAGTCTTTTTTTTCTTTTGTTCCACAGTTAAATAAGATGTCAAGAACCACTGCAAATGAAATCGACTAGAAGAAAAAGCAAGTTTAATTCAAAATGAATTTGCATTACAGACGACGACTGTCAAGCAGCTCTGCAGGGTAGGTCTGCCAGTCTCAGGAGGGGAGCCATTTCTCAGATCGTCTGACAAAAGCCCAGGCTTCCATCTTCAGTAGTGGCTTTGTCTCCAGGTAAACCTTTGCATCATTTAAAAAAAATTACGCTGGATAATAACTTGCATTGTCAACTATTCAGGGATGCACCCAAAGGCTTAAATCATTCCACTTTTACTGAGCTAAATCCAGTATAATTTTCCCCACTTGCCAAAAATTTCCTAGCCCAGGTACAACCAGCCCAGAAAAATAACTCATGTCAGAGATACATGTTCCCAGAAATCAATCCATTATCTTCACAATTCTTCAAGTGAATGACCCCTGTCCTTACTCATGAGAGGGGCCAGAAGCGGGTGCCAGAACTGGCTTCTCCTTTCTGAGCAGACACTAACCTGTGGTAAGACAGTGCTCCATGTTTATCAGGTGAATGAGGCCAACCAACACAGACAAAACTGGTAAGATTGCGAAAGCAACAAAACATCTGGTGATCTTACACATCTCCATACAGCATAACATCTTCCCAGTGCAACCCCTCCATTTTTTTTTTCCTGTCCAAATGAGGCAGAAATACAAGAATTTAAAAAATGGCTTACTGGGTTAAAGCAATGGCCCATTTGGCTCATTGAGTGCTGGAAGATGCTCATTAGGTACCTGCAAACCTCAGTGCTGCAGCAGTCTATTTCCCTCTAGTCTCTCTCCTCCTCCTCTGCTGCTCCCAAAGATTGCACACGGGATGTTAGAAGGCACATCCTTGCCTGTTGCCTGAACAATTTCTTACACAACTTGCTATACCAACAAATTCCAGCATTTTGGTATCCATCACACATTTCATTTTTAGCTCATCTTCTATCATTTCCAGAAAATACTCGTTCTCACATTGTGGGTTTCATGAAGACAGATCAGATAATTCAGTCACCAGCTTTGAGATCTTCTTAGACGCATCGGATGCCCCTTTTTAATTGAGGTTTGTCACAAGCTTGCCATGGCCTATTTAAAGACAAACTCAAAGGCCACTAAGAGATAACATGTTCCAAACCAAACTTCAAGAACTGCTGCACAAAATCTCATTCCAAACAAATATCAATTCTTACTCACTTTTAAAGCAACTACAACAAAGAATTGCTAACACAAAGATATGTCAGCAGAAAACATGACTGAAAGATGAAAAAGAGAAAAAATAAATTACCAGTTAGACTCCTCCTTTCCCAGCTAAACCACACAGATCCAGTTATGTCAAGATCCACCTGTAAAGTGTAGTGATGCCGGACAGAGACAAGCTTTTGGAATTAATCAACTCAAAGCAGACCAGACAGCATCATCTTCTCTATGGGTCATTGAAAATACACTAGAAACTACAAGAAAGGTAGGGGTGAAGTTTGTTTGTTTTCAAAGTTTGAAAGTGGAGCTGTAGTGGAGCACTGAAAATAAGGCAGAAGAAACAGAAGATTCTTCTGTTGCATTTTCATCAAGCAACTAATTTAATTGAAAAAGGATGACTTCCCCCCCCCCCGCCAAACAACACATTTCATCTGCTTTGCAGCTGACATATTTGGAAGAGTAAGTTAAAATGTGTTCTCTAATGATTCAACATCCCTAAGTACCGAAATAAATTGAAAACATAAGCATGGACCACAAGTAGCAAAAGGAGACTGGTTGTAGACATAGTCCTCAAACTTACGAAGACTAAAGAAAAGCATTACTATTAAGTGTCTGCCAAAGCTAATGGTTCCTGATGTGTCCCACAAAACAGATCTGTATAGGCAATATCAAAACCGCTATAAAGTTTTCTGTGAAGTACTGCACCCTTACAAACCTAAAAAGAGCTCAGTCCAAAGCATAGTAAAATCTCCCTGTTAAGTCTCAGATCACATCCTATTACAAGATACTATGGCTACACATACAGCAAATTGAAACTATGATAATATCAATGGCAACCTGGGAAAATTACAAAAAAAACCACATCAAAGGCAACGTTTTCAAAGTTTTGGCTGCATCCTGTCGACACACTCGTTTTATACCATACACCTGATTTACCTT